TCACATGGTCTTCTCGTTCATCAAATGGATGTTAAGACTGCTTTCCTAAATGGAGAGTTGGACGAGGAAATTTATATGGAAAAACCAGATGGGTTTGTACTAGATGGTCAGGAACAGAAAGTGTGCATGTTGCTGAAGTCTTTGTACGGACTTAAGCAAGCACCCAAACAGTGGCATGAGAAGTTTGAAAGAACTTTAACAGCTGCAGGCTTTGTTGTGAACGAAGCCGACAAATGTGTGTACTACCGCCATGGTGGGGGCGAGGAAGTTATCCCGTGCTTGTATGTCGATGACATACTGATTTTCGGAACAAATCTGAAAGTTATTAAGCAGGTCAAGGATTTCCTATCTCGTTGTTTTGAGATGAAGGATTTAGGAGTGGCTGATGTCATTCTGAACATCAAGTTGTTGAGAGACGACGATGGTGGGATTACTTTGCTTCAATCTCACTATGCGGAAAAGATCTTGAGTCGCTTTGGCTATAGTGACTGCAAGCCCTCTCCAACACCATATGATGCTAGTGTGTTGCTTCGAAAGAATCGAAGAATTGCTAGAGACCATTTGAAGTATTCTCGGATTATTGGCTCGCTTATGTACTTAGCCAGTGCTACAAGACCTGACATCTCTTTTGCTGTTAGCAAACTGAGTCGGTTTGTTTCAAAACCAGGAGATGTGCATTCGAAAGCTCTAGAGAGAGTTTTGCGTTATTTGAAAGGCACTGCAAATTATGGAATTCACTACACCGGGCATCCAAAGGTGCTTGAAGGGTATAGTGACTCAAACTGGATCTCAGATGCTGATGAGATAAAGGCCACGAGCGGTTATGTATTCACTCATGGAGGTGGCGCTATTTCTTGGAAGTCTTGCAAGCAGACCATCTTAACGAGGTCAACAATGGAAGCAGAACTCACATCACTAGATACAGCTACGGTCGAAGCAGATTGGCTTCGTCGGCTCTTGAATGACTTACCGGTTGTTGAGAAACCTATACCGGGTATCCTTATGAACTGCGACAATCAAACTGTGATCACGAAAGTGAGCAGCTCAAAGGATAACATGAAGTCATCAAGACACGTTCAGAGAAGGTTAAAGTCTGTCAGAAAAATGAAAAACTCCGGAGTTATTGCATTGGATTATATCCAAACGTCTAAAAATCTGGCAGATCCTTTTACTAAGGGTCTATCACGTAATGTGATAGATAATGCATCGAGGGAGATAGGTATGAGACCCACAATATGAGTTGTTCACAGTGGTAACCTATTCTTTGTGATCGGAGATCCCGTGAATTAGATGTGGAAGACAAGCTGTTGGTCAACTGAGAGGAGAGTATCCTTATTATTCACAATACCACTCCATGAAGATGCAATACTCTCCTTATCTGCATGGCAGGTTGATGTATATCTTAATGTGTTCTAAGTGGCTTATTTAACCAGAGATGTTATCCTGCAGAACATCTTTTGAAGAACACACCTATATGAGTCTGATTGTCAAACGTCGCAATCTATGAGAGTAGGGTTCTCCTTAGTAAACTCATGAAAGGTCACGGAGTATGACGCATAAGCTCCACCCGCGGGGAAGACCCACGGTGCCACGTATCGGTCAAGGCTTTATGTGAAGTTAGATTCGCAAGAAACTTGCAGTTCAAGGCCCAGTCCACTGTTCAAGTTGCTTACTAGTGTAGCATAGAGTTCTAGGTGGAAGTTCAACTTAACAGTCTCCACTGCAGTACCAGTATATAAAACAGTGTTTTGGAACCAAAGGCAAATTTTGTGTGCCTCTGAGATCTGGTGGGGGATTGCTGGAATTTTGTCTATTTTGGGCCTAGCCCAATAGCAGTTTCAGAAATTCCTAATAAATCCTAGAGGCCCACACAGCCCATTTGTGTAAGGCAAGAGGTGGAACAAAAGTTTAGTCCCACATTGCTAGTTGAGTGGGAGTTGGACCTCCTTATAAGCATGAGAACAAGAGGAATATCCACGCGCGCTCCTCCTCCTTCGCCCGCCTCGCCACGCCTCGTCACGACGCGCCGCGGGTTGCGGGAATGAGCCGAGCCGATGTCTAAATTTTTGCCACGCACGACGGGTATACGAAAGGTCATGTGGGAGTTGAAACGTTTTTCTGTAGTGGACACTGAATTCGAACGGCGCGCCTCTTCGGCCGCTGCCTGTTCGCTTCGTCTCCCTTCGTTGCTTCACCTCCCGTCGCAGCCTCTTCGCGTCCTTCTCTTGTGCCTATATAAGAGAGGTCGCTCCTCTCCGGAGAGACACACCAAAAGATCCCCTTCCTCTCGCCACAAAGTTCCTGAGCACTGCGCTGCTGCTACGATCTTTCCCATCCCGGCCTGCGGCGTGCACCGCACGTCGGGACAGTAGGCCTCCGAAACCGCACCTTTTGAGTCCTGTACGGGAGAAGGGTGATAAAGTTTTTGGGGAGCGCTCAACGCGACTACTGGCTGCTTCATCACGGACGATCCGATCGCCGACGACTACTTCCCTGACGACGACTTCTTCCCCGACGTCCACGACCTCCTCGACGACATGGCAGGCGAGGACACCGACCCCAAGTCCAGCGCTTCTGCTGCTGTTGTCCCGTACGTGTTCTTGTCTTTCCTGTTAAAGGTTCTGCCACAGTTCCTGGTTCTAGTCCTTATCCTACACATGTTAGGTTCTACTTCATATATACTACTTGCTATACTGTCTGCTTTAGATATGATAGACTACGGTTCATATATGCAGAAGCTATTTACCTTCTCTCTGTCAGAACGCATGACTTGTTTTATCTCTTTTATATTACTCATGCTTTATCTAGTATTTCTGTTAATAAAATTATTTGGTAAATTGCTCATATTTCCAACAGTGACTACATTAGGGAGCGCCGTACCGTACGTACGACACGACATTGGTCCGCGGTCCTTGTTTACGACTCACAGGTCACAGCAGGCAGGTGGAGAAATACCGTTCGAAGTGTACCATGTCCAGTAGGACGGCGCCCGTACATGCAAGCAGAGACATCTAGTAGTAGAGTACGACTGAAGAAAAATCGTGAAGGGTGTGATACGAGTACGGACATATTTTCGAGGCTGACAGTGAGAGGCACCGCGACCGGGTCGCACCTGCAGCCCATGCCCCAGTTGGGAAAGGAACGAAATGCAAGAGTAGGAGTAGTACTATATTGTTGCCGTTTTTTTTTTTTGAAATTGTATATTGTAGGAGTAGTACTGCGGAACCAAACGTCCTGTGCTTTCCGGTTCCGCTCTCTCTCTCCCCGTGCGTTTTGCGCGGCACACGGTTTACGTACGGGCAGTGATCCCCAGCGCGGCCTAGCTAGCGAGCTACGACGGCGCACGTACGCGTGCCGAAAGTCTACCTCGACGAGCCTGTGAGCCTCGCCGCATCCCTTCGAGTCTACTGATCCTACACGTTTTCGAAATGCGGCGCAGCCACGCAGTAGCTGTTGGAACTAATCGAGAGGCAAATCGAGAGAGACAACAATGGATTGAACTCTTCTTTATTGATGATGCGGCGCAGCCACAAGCGCACCGCATTCCGTCCCCAAAACAGGAGAAACCGGCCGGAAAAGTGAAAGCGAAACCCGTCGCGTAGGCTGTAGGCTGATTCTCTTCGTCCGAAAATACTTATCATCAAAATGGACAAAAAAAGATGTATCTAAAACTAAAATACATCTAGATACATCTTCTTTTATTCATTTTAATGACAAGTATTTACGGATAGAGGGAGTATCTGATACGAACACGATACGCGCTAGTGGAGCGCGCACCAGCTGTGGCAGCCGACCGGACCGGCAGTGCCGCCGCCCGGGGCGCACAGCCCGCCGCACCCCGCCCGCAAAAGCGGATAGCGGTACGGAGGGAACCCGCGGTTTCGTGCGTGACGGGCCCGTGAGTCACTCACGCGGACCCAGCGAAACGCATGGTAATTATAAGATACCAAAAAAATACCATATATTTTATCTACTACTCCCTCCGTTCCTCAATATAAGGTATATTATTTTTCCAAAAAGTCAAACTTCTCTAAGTTTGACCAAGTTTATAGACAAAAATATCAATATCTAGAATACTAAATCATTATCACTAGATTCATCATGAACTATATTTTTACATTTTATATATTTAGTATTATAAATCTTTATATATTTTGCTGTGAAGTTGGTCAAACATAGACAACAGTTGACTTTTATGAAAAACTAATACACCTTATATTTAGGAACGGAGGGAGTATATACGTAGGAGTACCCTCAAAAAAATATAAGTAGGAGTAGGTCGTATGATACGTACGTACGTACATATCCAGAAGAAAACAAGGTGCGGCGATGCGTTCGGTCCGCCGCCGCGTCAGCGCCCACGCGCCGACCCCATCAACCCGGCCGGCCCTGGTTTTTTGTTTCCGTCACTCCCTTCTTTCCTGGGTTCCTTGCGCTTCCTCCGTGGAGACTTTTCGGCCCGGTCCCTGCCGAGGTGCTATTTTACAGGACGGGGAAGCTGGCCTTCTTTCTTGGGGGAGAGGCTAGGCGAAAATGTGGTTTGACTATGAAATAAATAAACTATAGTAAGGTTCACCAGGTTGACTTGCATATAAAATTTGTTTTCTGGCCACGGCCTTCGGGCTGACTTTGGAATACTGTTAACTAATGGTACAGCTGCATGTCATGAGTCTCGTGTTTCAAATAATTTTACGCAGGCACAATGTGCAACATTTAAGTGGCAGAAAACAAGATTGCTTTGGCTCAAAACAAGAAATAAACAAAGGAGTTCTCGCTCCCACGCCATGAGAAACTGATAATCTACAAGGAGTAACAAAGCTCACAATAACAGAAAACCAAGAGATGGAAATGCAAATGCATGTCAACTCGTTTCCTGATTCAGCCCTGTCCCTCCTACTGTCCTCCACGTTGGGCGCGTCGTGGCTATATATACATCTTCCTTCCCTATCCCGTCGTCACCAAACACCAAAACCATTCATCCCGTATTCAAAAAACCGTGGATGGGATCAGGTCTCTCTCGCAACCACCGGAGCAGCGTCGCGCCCCAGCAGCAGCCGTCGGCGGCCCGCGTCATCGCCGCCGACGGCTCGCTGACGGACTTCGCCACCGCCTCCTCCTCCCCCGTCAGCGTCTCCGACGTCCTCGCCGCAGGCAATGCCGGCGCGGGCGGCCCCTTCTTCCTTTGCAGCTCCGACGCGCTCTACTTCGACGAGGACGTGCCGGCGCTCGGCGGCGGCGAGCTGCTCCGTCCCGGCCAGATATACTTCGTGCTTCCCCAGGCGATGCTCGGGCGGCCCCTGTCGAGCGCCGACATGGCGGCCATGGCGGTGCGGGCTAGCGAGGCGCTGGCGGCGAGAGCGCGGCCGCGTGGACGCGGCGCCGGCATCAGGAAGGTGCGCGTCACGCCGGTGCATGCTGAGGGCGGGCGCGGCGACATGGACGCCCAGATCAACGCGAAGCTCAACGAGAGGACCCTCGGGGAGTACTCTGTGAAAGCCTCTGGTAATCCGGCGAAACTCGGCAAGAAGGTTGCCGTGGCGGCATTTCCGCCGGCGAAGAAGGCCCTCAAGCCGCTCAGCACCATCGAAGAAGATGCGGAGTGAGGAAATGCTCAAAAGAACAGCGCCAAGCGACGCCGAGTGATAAAAATGGAAGGAAATTTCAAGATTTGGTGATAAGATTTTTCTTTTTGTATTGTTTTGATTTTAACCATTCTTGGAACAGTCTTGTTGGTGAGGAAAATTCAAAAAGGTAGGAGTAGTATATAAGAATGTCGGTTGGCTAATTTGCCATTGTACATGTATTTTGTAACAAAGGGAAATGAAATGCGGTCCTATATATGATTTGTTCATACTTCTACTACTCCCTCCGTTCACTTTTATAAGTCATTTCAGACAACTGAAAATAGGCTATTTGCACATTGTCTGAAATATCTTTAAGGCCTTATAATAGTGAACAGAGAGAGTACCGTTCTTTTGAGGGACATATATCTACTTTTCTTAATTGTGCTGGGCTAATGATCAAAGGTGGTGGCCCTGAGTGAGCCTATCTCTCCATCGTTGAAGGAGCAAACCACAACCTTTTCATGTTGAGGTACATTGCCGAGCTTGATGAGTTGAAGCATCCTAGACCAGCAGTTCCCGCATCTCCCACACCTGTTCGGCAACATATGTCATAGCAGCCACCTCTTGCGGGTGTGGCCAAAATAAATGTTAGCAGCGTACTTTCCTATGCAGTGGTATGTAGGAATCATAAGAGTATGTTTCTGGGATCCTCGGCTATAGTCTTCCCCAACATTAACGACCCTTCAAGCCTTGAGGCCCCTGCGTGCTGAGAAGTTCAAGCCCTAGCTCACGATCTACTTCTACAGAAGGTCATTATTTCATGTGACTGTAAAACAATGGTAGAAGAAGTTAAGCACGGAACTAGTGACATGTATGGTGCTATAATTAGGGAGATCAAGGCATCTCAACTTCTGTTTGAGAGTTGTGAGGTTATCTTCGAAGGTCGCAAGAACAACTCAAATGCTCATAGCTTGGCTAAGCACTCAGTTTCGCTTAATAAGGTCTCCATTTGTGGCTTGGTACTCCATGCGACCCCTTTTATTTTTCAATGAACATTATTGATCAATAGAGCTTGCCTTTTCTCCTAAAAAAACATGTTGAATACCGCGACATACTTTTTTGGTATACCCGAAAGTTATCTTTATAATCACCCAGTTACAAAGTGACATTTGGCAGCCCCAAAGTAACGGTCTAATATCTAGTATATGATATTCTCATGGTCTAAGGACGTAAGTATGTGTTAACACTTCATAGAAAAATATTGACAACAAATTGGCGGCGTGATCTCGCAGTATTTCATAAGTTCGGTCTATCCATCGCCACTGGTACCCTAACAATGTGTTCTCATTATTACAGGCATCATTGTTACAATAACAATGCCCATGGTTAGGAAAACAGAATCATCAACAATACATGAGTTACTCTAGAGACCGGACAAGAGGTCTATTTGGTATTTATCTTTCACACGTGCAATAAATTTTCCTCTGAATCTCACATTCAAAAACCATTGCAACTATAGCAAATAAATATAAACTTAATTATGAAAATGAAAATAAAATAATAACAACTTTATTGTTAATATATTGGTCTAACTCATGTGGAACCAAAGTTACACAACTTGCCATGCATGAATGGGCCAAGTGGGCCTCTAAGGACACTTCATAGTTTTTACAATAATCAAGGTGGCCAATATATAGTTCCAAGAACTATTTTTTTATTTTGGCGGTGATGCAATCCTATAAGAACTTAACCAATGAAGTACACCAACCAACTAAACTAACGAACCCAATGGTTCCAACATCCAGAAAAGTCACGGTCCCGTTTAACAAGTCATCAAAGATGGGATATATTCTACATCCTTGGCTTACAAGGCTCAGTTTAAAGGCCTCACCACCTCGGACCTTGTCCATTGAGTGTGGACGGTGTGGGCGCCCCCTCGGTGCAAGTCTTTTGCTTGGCTCGTTCTTCAAGATAGGATTTGGACTTCGGACCGCTTGAGCCGCCGTGGTTGGTCTAATTGCGGTCTCTTCCCTCTTTGCAAGCAAACCCAAGAAACCTGGCGTATTTGGAATGACGTCCTCCCATGGCTCGGCATGCATCATGTCACCATGTCTACTTGGGTGACAAGGGCTTCGGTCAGAGAAAGGTGGAACGCTAACCTGCAGATCCGTCTCGGCTCGCCCAAGGCGCTCGCCTCCCTCATGATGCTCATCTCTTAGGAGGTTTGGTCGGAGCACAATGCTAGAGTCTTCCGCAACTCAGCGGCCCCTTCCATGACCATCATCAACAAAATCAAGCAGGAGGTATCGCTTTGGAGTTTGGTTGGAGCGAAGCATTTGGGTGTTGTAATGCCGCGAGAGTAGTCCTTTTATTTACCGCTTTGCAATTTTTGTCTAAAACTTTCTCCCTTAATCAATAAAATGGTAAGTCTTTTGCCTTGTTTCAAAAAAAAATGTTGGCCCTGCCTGAAGAAAAAGATGTGGTTCCCCGCAGGAGCCGTCAGGCTTTAGAGCCGTTGAGGTCACTGTCGGCCCGTGGTCACTACCGGAACAGGGCTCGATGCCGACGGCCGCAAGTATGCCGACGGCTACCGTCGGCCTAATCCAGAATATGCCGACAGCTGGCCCTAGGCCGTCGGCATACAACAGCCGTCGGGCTATCCGAGTGTACGCAGACGGCCCCCGTCGGCAAAGAAATGTCATCGGCATAGACGAATCTATGCCTACAGCTGCCGTCGGCATATACCGGCTGTCGGCATAGCTGCGGGCCCGGCGACCATGCCCTTGACAGGCGGCTAACGGCGTCAGATCTATGCCGACGGCTGGGACGGGCGCCGTCGGCATAGATACGAACGTCACGTCATCGATCCAAGGCGCACCGACCAAGGCCTATGCCGACGGCAGCCGTCGGCATAGATGCCACGTCATCGATCCGCACCACGCCGTCCATCTGCCCTGGCCACAAGCCGTCGGCATACATATATTTTTTTCCTTTTTTTCATAGCTATATTTTATGTTTTCTTACATATTATTATCTGACTAACTTACATATAGCATGTGTTAATATAAGCATACATACATTATTTTCGGTTTATACGGAGGGGTATGAGCCCCCTCACGGACGGCACCGCCGCCGGCCGGCACCTGGAGTGGGGAACTGCCGCATCGGGTCTATAGGAAGGGGACTTTGCTCCCAAGTGTATATATATCGGATGACCTACCACAACCGGGTGGTGTTGTGGCATGTCCGAAGAGGCGGCACGCCTCTTCGGGACGTGGCCCCCCTCACGGACAGCGCCACAGCCGGCACCTTGAGGGGGGAAACAGATGCGTCGGGTCTACACGGAGGGGATGTAGCCGGTTTGGCCCGGATGTTGCTCCTAGGTGTCCCTTGTGCTGACCTGACACAACCGGGTGGAGAGACCCACTGGTCAAAGACCGTCCGTGGGAAGTCAAAGGGCTAGATCTCGTGGTCAACCGCTCCAGGGTTAGGCGGGACGGGGCATTGGGGGGTAGCAATGCCACCGGAGCATCGCACCGGCCCCTCATAAATGCGGGGTGGTGTGGTGGCATGTCCGAAGAGGCGGCACACGTCTCCGGGGTGTGCCCCCCTCACGGACGGCGCCGCCGCCGGCACCTGGAGGGGGGAAACGGACGCGTCGGGTCTACACGGAGGGGATCTTGTTGTGGGTCTGGCCCG